GTGCTTTAAATTGTTTTACTGATGAGCTACCAGCCCGCGGACCACGGGCGTAACGACACATATGGCCTGTTCCAAACAAAAATGAGCGTTCAGTTTGGTTTCTGGGCCCCAGATTTTGTGACCGGTCCGTTGGAATATTCTGCTTTCCGAACATAAATCGTGACGTTCTATTTCAGATGAATTTAGGAGCCTTGTGACATGTGCGAAGTACCAGCAACTATCTAGCGAACTGGGAACATGTGAAACGACGAAAAAGATTAATGTTGAGTGCCATCACAGGAGATCCAGTCGATGAAGGTCAAGGGAGGTCATTGACCTCAAGTGACTTGGAACATCCTTTTGATGTGAGAAACATGAGTCCACTGTAGTTCGGGACGGGGATTTGAAATGAAGACATCAAAATGCTCTCGAAGATTTATGGTAATTGTGGCCTTCTAAATGATGTCTAAGGTCACTGACCTGACACGACCCTAAGACAAATGTTACCTAGGTTAAGTACTTAGGTTAAAACTGGTTGCGTGAGCGGGTCTGAGCGCTAAACCAGTCTTGAGTTTATCTTATTTGATCCAAAATTCAATACCTCGAGATCTAAAATTGTGACAAAAATGACCCCACATAAAGGGTCACTTACTCTGTAAATTTAGTCTCTCTAACTATCCTAATCTTATTCCCAGGAGAGGCTCAAATTGGCCCCCTCACCCCAACGCGTTGCATTTTGGCCACCCGAGCGCGTGTTAAAACACTGCTCGAGACCAACATTACCGCATCACCAGTGATCCTAGGCCCCACACTATACTGTTACGGCCACGACTTTGCCTCATCATTACAGTGTAAGGAGACAGCCCTTCACGGGTTCAGCCACAAAACTATTTTTGGCAGATCCAATCGCTTTTAAAGGGAGCGCCCCACATTTCAATACATCAAGGCAAGCATCAGATATGATAAAAAGTCCACTTATGACTATTGGTACGCTTTTAAGGAAAGAAGGCTGCTTTACACAACACAATTTCTATATTGCTAATGCTCCTCAGCACGACATTGCTTGATGGCGTCATCGTACGTTACATAACGCTGATTAGGAGCCAGCTGGCGGCCGTTACATCTGCAAATCGTGCTGATGAGCCTCTGATATGAACGACTCGACAATTATATTTGTCTTGGCCTTGATCGCCGCTTGATCGATGGAATGACAGGATTTGAACTACGTTATTGTGGCGTCATGGATACCTGGATGACCTTGAAATAGCCTCCCGAAAAAGTCTGCACATCTCCGCGGGCATGTAGCTCAGAAACTAGAAGGGTTTACGCCTTCACAAGGGCAGTGCACCGGACGATGTTCAACATAGCTATTTCATTTCAAGATCCTACACAAATGTGAAACACTCCTTTTTAAGAAAATGCTCGTGCCTTGCTGGTCATAAGAACTGAACCACAGCATGACGCTCATGCAACAGGACGGATCGAAATACAAAAGCGCAGACGTTCTGCTGAAAATGACGATGTGCAACAACGTCCGTCTCAAAAATAAACTTTCGCCGAAAAATACCGCCAGCCTAGCATTTTTTTCTTCTTTTTTAAATTCTTTATATTATTTTATATTATATACATATTTTTCCACCAGACATATTGCAGTTGTGGGTCTGCTCATCGTATGCCCATGTGCACAGTACCATTACATCGACAACATGGAGTGGGTACCTTTAGTCTGACCCCACCCGTCCAACTGCTCCCATGTGCTAGTTCTCCGGAATTTGGGCGAGAGTCAGGGACCACTAGAAATGCTGACAGCTATAATTTAAGAAGTATGGCCTGTATTGCATAGCACCACTGTCGCATATCGTACCAAACCATTACCGTATATAAGCATTAGCGGTAGAAGTGATGTCACTTATGACTAATGACTATCCAGGTTTTTGCAGGTGACATAATGACAGGTATAAGTTTTTATGGCATAAGCTGTGTCATGCAGCACTCACATCGTGCACAAGTTTTTTGCAATAAAGGTAATGTGTGTCTGTGAAGAACTTTGCCTCTGCCTTTGCGTTAGAGGTAATGACCGGTACATGCTTTGGAAACATGCATTATGTTGAGTGGCACTCAAGCCGCGTGCAATTCTGTGCATTAGAAGTGTTGTCACGTACAGGTAGTCTGTAAAGGTGTTTGCGGGAGGAAGAATGTCGCGTAGAACTAATGTTGAAGGATTCCTGCCGGCAGGACTTTTTGCCGTAGCACTGGTGTTGTGACACCTATGTGCGAACAGGCGATACGTAAAATACCTAGCCTATTCGACATGAATTGCCCCAAAGGTTAAGTCCCAATTTTTCAAAAAACGTACGACAGGTCGTGCGTAAACGCGCTATAATAAGAACAGTGGGGTGGGAGATTGCGTGAGATGGGATGGTAATTTCAGGATCAGACTACAATACATTTTCTTTTGTCTTCACAGGAACCCGGGAGTTTCGATGAAACACCTATCAAACCTCGGTCCGGATTTCATTACCAGACACTTTTGTATCCGGAACCAACGTGCGTCGTGGAGCGGGATAATTGCGTTACCCCGTTTTGGTGTAACTGTGGGTGCACTGCGACCTACCGCATAGCATCACTGTTGTTTTTGGTCAATTCACAACGCATGCGCATTTTACCCCTACGTGATCCAAATTCCAACATTCGTTGGCTGTTTTAACCCCAACAGTTGTTCATCGAAGAGAGAACCCGATACCCGACAGCGGGCAAATAGTAAAGATCCCACGTGAACGAGGCTCGCTAGAATAATCACGATCTGGAACACCTGCCGACGAAACGACCTCGAAATTGATCGTCAGAGCGGCCGCTTTGCTGCCTATACACATCGCCAACTAAAGGTGCAACGTTCGAACAGAAACAGGAACCTATCTGGGGACTATTGCAAAGTCTTGCCACGTTCCTTTTCTTCGCCAGGTGTGTAGTCTCACGCCTCAGCACCCACCCAGGTCCACACGAGGACCACCACCACACGGCGGCTTCAGCTGGGAGCTGTTGGCCGCCCTCAGCAGTGGGCCAGCTGGGATCTTTACTCGTCTCATGAAAGGCCATGACTGATAGTTTAGCCGCATAATTGGGGAAAGGAGTAATGATTCTATGCAGTCACAGCAAAAGATGCTTTGTTCTTAAACAACCCTGGCACCAATTCTTCAGTGGACAAAGAAATGATGACAATTTATTTGGGACACAAATGCAGTGACTGCACCTACATCCCACAAAACAATAATCAGTGAAGATCACAGAAGCAGCTGTAGCTGCAATGTTGACAGACCAGTAGATTTGACAGATGAGCCAGAGTGAAATAAATGGGAAAGCTGCTAAGAGGATTCTCCTCTTCTGTAACATCCGCATCCACAAAGATGGTATAGGGAATTCTGACAGGCATCATGATATTGAGCTTCTTGGTCATCCACTTATGAACCAATTCAAGCTCCCAACATTGTTTATTTACTTTGGTGACTGAAATGGCATATCTGGGCTGGAGGCACCCTTATGATGAATCAATGAGTACTTCAGCAACATGCTGCCTAGGAACAGCTAAAAACAACTTTGCTTCCTGGCAGCAGGAAATGTGTAGAAGTAGAAACAGGAAGGATAAGTAGAACCTGAAGATAACATGGGAAATGTGCCTGAGTCAAGTGAGCATAACATGGAAATACATGCAACCATTACCAGTTACATTCACCTATACAGCCCCAGCCCCCCTAACAGCCCCATGCCAGATGACATAGGGGTGTGAAATCAGCATCCTCTTCTGCAAATTAACCATGCACTAGCACAAGTCCTATGCTGTATGATAATGTGTGATAAAGAAAATATGCTGCAGGTCATGCCTAGACAGCATACCAGGGCTCATGCCAATGTTACTGGCAATTTATCAAAAATTACATTATCAATTTGTTGCATTGAGATTTTCATGGTCATTTATATATTCCCAGCAGACAGAATTGATACCTGATATTGGACATAGCATCATTAATATATGCAGTCTGGGCTGATCACTACCTACTGTATCTTTAATGCAGCATTTAATAGCTACCTTTTCAATTTTTATCAACCAAGGATCATCCACATATATAATATCTGAAATAATCATTTCCAGGATATGGTGACTGATTTCAATGCTTCTGGAAGATTTGTAATATCTTATTGCGCATTCTGAACTACCAAAAGTATAGACAATAGAGGTAAATTACTTGCACATGAGTTCTTATTCTAGTTACTTTGCTAGTTAGTTATAGCACCATGCTAGAATCATGGTGAATGATATTGGCATGAACATCATGGGTTTATCATTACCTCAAGCCCTAAACAAAATATATACCCCTCAATGAAAAAGTGTACCAGTGATCAACCATTTGGTAATGTTACCTGGTAACACCATATGGATAAGGTTACATATATTGTTAAACATGTTATCTTTCTGAAAGGTTATGTATGAAAGAAGAGAGCAAATGATATTCATCAACCACACTGAAAAACCATTCAAGGTCCTGCATACACTAATGAGATCAGCCTTATATCCTACTCACTGTCAAGGCCAATTTGAGAAAGGATGCCTTTGTTAGGTGTACTACATAGGATAGTGGTGTAGCAGGGACTCCCAACCTAAGATCATCAGGTCCTGAACTAGATATCCTAACCACTATTTGATGCATTCTGAAATGCTGTAAATTTCATAGCTTAAGGATGTAACCCAAAACATTAGATGGCATATTCAGCACAATTTGGATCAATATTGAGCAGAACAGTAGGGGTAATCAATGGTCGGCATGCACAAATTCCTGAGGGAAAATGCTTGAAGCCTTTGCAGCCATTAATCACCATCCCCTGCCTCAAAGCAGAGAAGCTGGCTGCCCCATTTGGGGCAGGACCAGACTCACCCCAAATATCTTAACTGGTACGCCACTTTAAGCGACTGAATCACATGAAATCCACCATGTCTCGTGCCTTCTACGGTGGTCATCAATGCTTACCTGGAATGTCATGTGAGGGAACACTATTGGCAGCCAATTTGTAGGTGTTAAAAGCTCTTGCAGTCCGGTCACATCCAAGCCCCTGCCCTTTCGCTATGCCAACGCAGCATACAAGCTGCAACACTACCAAGTAACTTGTCCAAGTCCTTCCAGTCAATAGGAAAGAGCTGGATCTTCCCATCTTGCTAAATATGTGATCCAATCACGGACTTCTCAGAGCTTGCTCGTACGTGATATGGCTTCTTGGCTGCCCGTTCTTTCTTGTCTTGAAATACGTTATACAAAGAGCAAAACGGCAAAACCGACGCAGTTTGCGTGGGCCATTCACACGTTCCACTGTGTTGTATACTTCATCCGGCCTATAAAAAGTCCCTGAACTTCTCTCGGACAACTTGAGCCACACCACCCACTTTCGGCCACAAAATGCTCAGAAAACACAAACCACATCACACATCATGCCCACCCCACACCCCAATTCACACACTCCAAGACTGACGAGACGACGAAAACGGAGAATACTGTTGCCAGGGTTCAGGTGGCGTATATACTTTTCCAAGTCGCCAGAGACTTTTCCCGACGAAATATCTCAAGATAAGCCTAGGAATTCTAGTTGACTAGGATTTACTAGCAATGCTGCCAACTTAGAGTAAATGAGGCTACTAAACGCACGGGCATGCTGTATGTAGTAGTGGTGCATTATAGATTAACGTTTTGAACCTGCGAGAAAGCAAAAATTCCAGGTAGGAACGGCTTTAAAAACCAAAACAAATAATTCAGCGGAGTTTCTTGGACTGAAACGATGCTTAACACGATAACATTCCCCAGTGCGCAGGCGGCCGGAAGAGGCGGCGCGGAGGAATTTCTTTTATTTTCTTGCGGCAAATATTCAAAATTCAGAAAGTCTACGGGACCAGGCTCACCCCTCCTCCCTTCAAGCATCCACACTTATGGTTTTCGATATGCACCAGTAGCGCAGACAGTGGGCGCAGGGGGTACGTTGATCCCGTTTGGTTCCTGGGGGTTCTCGGGCTCTCGGGGCGTAAAGAGCCCAAGTTGAGGGCCCGAAGGGCTCAAAATTCCGGCAGAATGTCGTATTAGAGGCCCGTCCCGAGAGCTGTGCACTCTAATGCAAGCTAGAGGGTCGTGCGTGCTGTTCAGGGGCGCTCTCAGTCGATAAGGCCTATATAGCCTATGCGTCCGTCAGGCAATATGAAATCAATAACACACAGCCAGCTCCTTGTCAGCATGGGCTCGAGGGCCCATTCGCCAAGCAGGGACAAAGCAGAAGCCAGCAATTTACATTGGTGAGGGCCCAGCGTCTGTCAGGGGCTCACAGCGCCTAACAGGAGACCCTGTGTTAGCAAAGAGCCCGAGTCAGCCAGAGGCAGTGATGAAGGAAGCCAGGAGAGCCTGGAGGGCCCACCGGGACTGACGACCAAATGCCCGATTGGGGGGTTCAAGGGCATGAAAGGCTGGTTGGGTCTTATTCAGGGGACCCAGCCTGAGGGAACGTGCCCTCGAATGACAGTCAGAAGATCCTTAGGCCAGGCACCACCAGTACCGCACAGTTAGCTCCGTGTCTGTATGGACCTGAGGGCCCACTTCCTATTCAGCTACAAAGCCGGGCCCGGCGATTTGCACTGATTGGGGGCCCTGTATCTGTCAGGGGTCCGTAGTGCCTAACAAAGGATCCTGTATTCGCAAGGGGTCCCGAGCCGACCAAGGGTGGTGTTCAATCAGGGTCGAAAAGGTACCCGGGCGGCTCACCAGAACCGCCGATCGATAGCTCGGTTTGAGGGCTTAAGGGTACGAAGGACTGGATGTAGATCACATATAGAATCGCAGCCCGTCGTGGCCTGAATTATCAGTCAGAGGGCCCTCGCACTGTTGGATGGCTCCTTGCACCGTTTGATGACTGAGATAATACGGGTGCCTCAGTCGCCCACAAACCACAAACACCGAACACCTGGCTTCCTGTCAGTCTGAACCCTGGGGGCCCTTTTCCAAAGCAGGAGCAAGGTCGTGGGCCACGACCTGCGTTGGTCTGGGTCCCTGACACAATGGTTGGGGTATGTCTGTGCAGGTCAGGGGCCCACAGTGTCTAACAGGGGTCATGTGTCGACTAGTGGCCCCGGGTCGGTCATAGCTTTGCTTGAGGAGGTCAGAAGAGGAGCAGAAGTGTCCCTCGGACCCAAAGATCAAGAGCCCGATTGGAAGGCCTATTGTCCTCTTGATTGGAGGTCATGAGCCTGAAGGGAAGGTGACCTTAAGGATGCTCTCCTACCTGTAAGCGAGGGAGTTACCTTAAATATCGGTCAGAGAGCTTATCGCACTGATTGGGGACCCCCGAGACAGTGCGGGTCTCTATTTCGGCCAGAAATTACAACACCGAACAATCGGCTACGCGTCGGTCTAAGCTCTAGGGACCGATTTCCTACGCGAAAACAAGGCCGGGTTTCGCAATTTGCAATATTCGCGGTCGCTGACACAATGAGTGACTTCTGTGTCCGTCAGGGTCCACAAGACCTAACAGGGGTCCTGTGGCGGCAAGTGGCCCGAGTCGGCCGAGATATATATTTACGGGGTCCGGAAGAGGGCCCGGAGGATCTCTCGAGACCAAAAATTAAAGCCTGATTGGAAGGACCGAAGGGCCCGAAAGGCTGGCTTAAGGTCACATTAAGGACTACTGACCCGTAGGGCTGTAATCCCAAATGTCAATTAGAGGAGCTCCTGTACCGATTGGGGACCCCTGAGTCAGAGTGTTCTTCTATTTCTGCCAGAGATCACCAACACCGAACAGTCGGCTCCGTGTCGGTCTGCGCTCTTGGGGCCCAGTTCCCAAGCGCGGACATGGCCGGGCCCGCGATTTGCATTGGTCCGGGCCCTTGCAACAATGCGGGGTCTCTGTATCGCTCAGGGGCCCAGTGTCTAACAGGCTGTTCTGTGTCACGCAAGATGACATCATAACTGTCATATGGCATGACTGCCAGTTGCAAGAGCACGCTGACAAGATAAGTGATTGGTCAACAGCAAACAAGATGGCATTCAACACTGACAAGTGTCAAGTCATTTTTCACCGCCAAAAAATCCTTAGCACTATCCGACATCAGGACTCAAAGAAAAGGCCTGCTAGCTGCCACCAAAACTAAGCTTTTAGGTGTAACAATATCAAATGGCATGTCATGGCAAGCACATGTGGATGAGATTGTAATCCAGGCATCGAAGACTCTACATATGCTCTACATAATGAAGAAGTACCATCCACCACAGGAACAGCTTGTTCGTGCGTATCTTACTTACATCCGGCCATTGCTAGAATATTGTGCACCGGTTTCTTATGCGGGACTCACTGCCAAGCAGGAGCAAAATCTTGAAAAAGTGCAGAAGAAAGCCTTGAAAATCATCCTCGCCCGTTCGGAAAAGTACTTGCACATCTTGAAACGGTTGGGCATGGAAATCCTCGCTGACAGAGGAGAAAAACTATGCCTAAGGCTAGGAAAACAAATGCAAGCGTCTCCCGCGCACAGAGATCTGCATTCGAAGCAGCGAGTGACGATCTCCGGCAGAAATACCCGGAGCGCAAGCACACCCCAAACTTTTTGCTGTGGTATGTCCATACTACAATTGGTATGTGGCATAGTATGTATGTCGATCTACGATCGACATTCGCGGGGGTCCCTAATATCTCTGCAGAGCCCGAACAAAAAATCTGACGGAGCTACTGAGATATATCGGTTTAGGAAGAGTTCACTGGACCATTGTAAACTGGGGGGCGCCAGCGGCTTATTTATTTCAACCATTTAATGATTTTTTCACTTCTTTACTATAAGATTCAGACAGAATTTGTCTGGCGGTAAAGTCTGTCTTCTTTTCCAGTTATGGAAGGAAACAAATGAAAATTATCAAAGGAAAACATGCTCTCATTGACACACGAGCCATATCCGGCAACTTTGAGGGCCGCCAGCGTCAGAGGGCCCTTTCTCAACGTTATGCCCCCACCCCCGCACTTACTAAGGTTCTGGCTGCGCGTATGCTACGCTGGCATCTTACCTGTCGTCCACCATCTTACCATCCGCATGTGAAGGGAAATCTTCATCTGATGCGCGGCGGAAGCGGTCAAGTGGGCGCAAAGGGCGAGGAACAGCGGAAAAAGAAACGTTTTTGCGACAGCAGTGTTGAGGGAGACAAAAACGGGGAGGGGGCGCGTAGCTTGGAGGACAGGGTGTCTAGCTGTGTACGCTGTTGGATGCCAGCAGGAGTGATGTGCAGCGTGGCTCAAATGCTCAGCATTTTTGAGATCCGCTAGCTGCTTCTTACACCGCATTCCACAGTCATCTCTCCATTGGCTGCATGGCGGCACTGGGTAGCCTGGCCGCCTGGTTCGTGGCACACCGTTATCGTATTCAACGCCGTGGATAGGGATCGACAAGGGCGGGATACCAGTGCCGCCGCTCCTCTTATTGGCCGAGGGAAGACTTCAGCAAAAGGAGGGAGATTTCTTAAACCTCAAAGTACCGCCAAATACCCCTAGAATTCTCTAGGTGAAAAGTCTCTAGCGGCTTGGAAACAAATATACGGGCTCAGAAGGCTCGGACCTCAGTAGAGAATAGGTTTGGCAGTCTTAAAGTGACGTCACTATGAGGACGTCTGAAGGCATTTAGGCATGGAAGGAATAACATTACAGGTTTTCCAACGCTTATTTTCAAGTGGTTCTAAGCCTTTATCACCAAATAGGTGAATTTCAAGGCTTTTGCTTTTATTATATATTGTATATGTGTGTGAACATATTGCCTTCTAGCCATATCTGCGGCTCAAACAGATGTGGCTGGTGACATGTTTTAATACCAGCTCGTATCATTGCACCATGTATTTCACCAATACAGGCACCTTTTGCTATAATGTGATGAGAACATCTCCCTGTCACCGACCGTTTCGGACATAGCGGTGGAGCCTCGGTATACTTTAAACTGGTGAAATATATATAAAGGAACGTTCATCCCGATGAAAGAACATTTAGGGAGCTACCAAGCAATAAAAAGACGACGTCGGCTGTTTTCAGCGAAAAGAGAGACACCAGAAATTTTCCAAGACAGTTTGGTCGGAAAAGCTGATAAAATCTTATTTCACGTTATGCGGGCAGTCTACTTCTTCTACGGGTAACGTTTTTATTTACATTAATAAACGTGCCCTGCCCCGTTGAACTGCGACGACATAATGCAGGCCAAAAACTTATCCTACCGGTAACTCACGCCCAAAAAGGCCTTTGAAACTGTTCAGACAGACTTTCAGGAAACGCACCGCAGAGTCGCGGTGGATTGTTTGCATTTCGCATGCGGTTAAGTCTTCTAAAGTGGGACGACTGTTGCAGCTGAATAATAGGGCCCCCCAATTATATCTGGCAGCTCCTCGTGACGTCCCGTAGGACGTTTTTGCAGCCTACAGGATTGCAAGGTCATAGGAAAAGGTCCTTTTTAGAGACGGTCTTTGCGTGGAGGC